TCATAGCAGTGGCTTGTGGGATGCCTTTATCCAGCAGTGCATTGAACGTGAATGATGATGATGACGACGATGATGACCAGATAATCACAAATATTGGCCATTTTCACTGCGTAGTGGAAATTAATGGATATTTCATTTACACTGCATGTGTTTGTGCCAATCTTCCTCCAGTTGTATCCTTACTGCAGAATGTCCCAGCCTTCTCTGGCCATAACTAACATATATACACACACACACACACAAACAAATAACTCCATAATTTATGTCGAGGAGCATACATTCTGTACGAACGTTGAGAATTACGAGGAGAGAGGTGGCTCGCTGGATCGGGTGTCAGTCCACTGAGCTGGCACTGAAATCCCTGGTTCGAGTCCAGACAGCTGTCGTTGATTGAGCCGTGGGCTTGATGATCTCAGACCCCCATCGGCAGTGGCTACGCAGAAACCGCGTCGCTTTAAATTTGCTTCCCCGCGCTTAATTTTTCGGTATGTTTCCCGCGACGCAGTGAACATTGCCTCTTCCGTCCGTAGAAGTGCACAACATGGCAGAAGCGTTGCGACTGTTCTCTTCGTCGCGTTTCTCCGCAAGATATCCGAATGGATCTCGCGCCGCCGATATAGCAATCGGGATAGAAACTTTTGGGAGAAAGGGGGTGGGGGGGGGCATAAGAAGCGAACGCTCGAGAAATTGCCGCGTCAGCAAAGTGTTTAACATTTCTCGCGGAGTCAAAATATTAATGGGGGAAAGAAATTGAGCATTTTTCGCGCAAGTAAGGGGCGCTTACGTAACGCGCGACAGTGAGTGTTCCTTCTGCGGCACTTGGAAAACTTTTGCGCGACTCAACCCAGCTGAGCTCACGTCGCCTTCCCTGTTAGCGCTCATCAGCGAGTCGCGGCCAGCTACGCAAGAGCCAAATAGCTACATCGTGGGCCAGTACAAAAATGTGAGAATCAGTTTTCCCTTTTTTTCTGGCATCAAACAGGTGTTAAGATGTTAAAACACCAAACTGAAACCTTTCACAAGGAATCATGTCTGCATTAACCACAATACTCGTGGTCAGAATGCAAACAAAAAACATACTCTGATAATATATGCATTGTCTTTTAAACTAAATGGCCCACACCAGAGACAGCTTTCTTTTGAGCCTCGTCTCAAAACGGTGTTAGACCAGAGGACGACCGCTTGTGTTGCGATCGAAACGTCGTGAGTTTTTTGGGTGTTTTATATTTTAAAAAATAGATATTATTTTTATTTTATTTTCTACCTACGTGACTTTACCAAAAGAACCATAGCATATCAAGTAGCTTTGTCCTTGAACTAGTTCTCAGCTGTGTTCTGTTGGCCGGCCTCTGACCAGGGCGGCTGTGCGTGCGTGAGGGAGTGGTGGCGCGTTGGTTAGCACACTGCGCTTGCGAAACTCTGGCCGCGTGGGTTCGATTCCCGTCTACGGCTAAAATTCCATCGTGCGCCATTCCAAACATTCCAGCCACCATATCGGTGCTCGCTAACATCACTTGCCCCAACAGTCTATGTAGACTATACGGGGAGAGACATGTGCCTTTGCGTGTCCGTGTCTGTGTGTGCTCGCTAACATCACTCGCTGTCTTGATTTTATCGCTAGGACTACCTCCGTTTAATCTAAACTCTAAAAGTATATCGATGGCCTCTTTAGTGCGGCGGCGCGAGCTTTTTGCTAAACAAACACATTAATTTAATGAATGAGTGAACTTACCGCATGTGATATCTTTGCCACTCTCTTGCCTGCGTGCTCACTCACAGCAACTTGCCCGAACCGTCCACAGCGCTATACGGGGGACCTTTGTCTTTGAGAGAGGGTGCGCGCGAGTGGGTAGGTGTGGGCGGATGGGGTTGGCTCATGGGCAGCTATGCCACAGATCAGTAGAATTGTAAACCACAGCAGAGCCCGCAAGACCTGGCCGAGCGCTACTGCCCTGCCGGATCGAGTGTCGTCCACGCGACACCTGTTCGGATAAAAATACTGCGGCCCTGACGGACAGAGGCAGCGGGGATTCGAGGGGCGACGGTGGTGGTGGGGTGGGGTGGGAGAGACGTGAGCGGAGGGTGGACATGGAGTGGTGGGGGACGGCACGGTTGGTGTGGTGGGGCATGGTGGGGGAGGGCACGGTGGGTGGGGGGGGGGCATGGTGAGGGGGGGCACGGTGGGGGGGCATGGTGAGGGGGGGGGGCACGGTGAGGGGGCATGGTGGGGGGGGCATGGTGAGGGGGGGGCATGGTGAGGGAGGGCGCATGGTGAGGGGGGGGGCATGGTGGGGGTGGTGGCCATGGTTGAGCATGTAGTGGGGGCTCGGGGTGCGGAGGCAGTGGGGCCCCGGGGCCCACCCCCGATGTGCGGCCGTGCTGTTGAGCTCGGGGCTTTTTATGCGAGAGGCGTGCGTCTCGCACAGGACCACGCACGTGGCGTGACGTGCGCGTGTGTGTGTCTGTGCGTCATCGCCACTAGGAAGACAAAGGCGGCCTGGCGTGGTGCTGGTCACTCAACTTCGAGCGTGCCTTTCCGGCCTTCATAGGTCCTCGCAAACAGAACTTGCCCCGACAGCCTGTGAAGGCTACACGGGGTATTTGTGTATGTGTGTATGCACGGGGAGCGGTCGTAAAACGTTTAGCGCGCTGCGTAACGAACCCGGCCACCCGAGTTTGATTCCCGCTCACGGCCAACAACCCAGTGACGATTATCTGAACCCGTTCGAGGCCTCCCCTAGGTCGACTCGGCCTCAAATTAGTACCTGAGTGCCGTGTGCAAACATCACCACTGGGGAGACAAAGGCGGCCGGGCGTGGTGCTGGCCACCCATCCACCCCCTCGTGTACCGCTCCGGCCTTCACAGCTGCTCGCCAACAGCACTTGCCCCAACAGTCTGTTAAGGCTATACGGGGGGGGGGGGGGTGGGGAATCTTTGTCTTTGTGTGCGTCGATTTGCTTGACGAGTTGATGAACCTGGCTCGGCATGGGATGGCGGGGACATTGCAAGGGGCTTGGCGTCTCACATCCTCCGCCCGCCGCTTGCCAAATAACTGATGGCTGCATAGTTGTGGGGGCTTTTTTAATATAGCTAAGAGATTCATGCCGGTGGCATCATTGTTGTTAGCGAGCGTGTGCACTCGAGGTTTGTGGCGTGGCCCAGATGCGATTGTTTCATAGGGTTAGCGTGGTTTAAGTGGGCGCGCCACGGTGGCCAGGAGATGTTAACTACCTCGCCTGCCTGGTATACAGGAGGTCGTATGGTTCAATCCCGACCCTGATGCCCGCTGTACATTTGGAGTATGCGTGTTTCCCTCTCATCATCACCACCACTGTGGCTAGGATATGTTAACTACCTCGCCTGGTATACAGGAGGTCGTGGGTTCGATCCCGACCCTGATGCCCGCTGTACATTTGGAGTTTGCGTGTCACTCTCTCATCAACACCACCACTGTGGCTAGGAAATGTTAACTACCTCGCCTGGTATACAGGAGGTCGTGGGTTCGATCCCGACCCTGATGTCTGCTGTATATTTTGAGCTTGTGTATCTCCCTCTCCCCGTGGTCGCGTGGATTTTTCTCCGGGTCCTCCGGTTTTTCCCTCCACGTTTAGAATCAACATCACGCGCCTAGAGAATTTGTCTGCGATACATTTCCACACGATAAGCCACTTCGTGAAGCTATCATGTGTGGCCAGGTCGCTTCTAAAAAAATAGTTATATAGCTCAGTGGGCCTTAACTGTTAAAATAAAAATAGTTGTAGTAGTTTTAAATAGTTTACATTTGAAAATTGAAGTGCTGGGAAGCCAGAATGAGTTTCCACACTGTGGGCAGTTGCGTTCATGCAAATTATCAACCAACATCACGCGTCAGTGAAGGTACGTACTCACAATGTCACGGTTCTACGTGTCGCTAAATTCTGCTATTAATCGTAGGCCATTTTTTTTTCCAAGCGTGCTGTCTGAAAGCGGATGTGATATTCCCCGCTACATCACTTGTGAGATTATTAAGACCTCTGCATTGTTGGCGATGTCATGAACCGCAGGCCAACATTTGAGAAATTTCCGGACATTGAATTCATTGACACCGAAACATTTTGCAGCCATTATGCAAATTCGGTGTTCAGGTATTCCTCGAAAAATAGTTTACCAATATGCACGGCATCTCAAATAAATAACGTGCGCAAGTGAACGAGTCAAATGTATTAACAATGCATGCTTCAGAACAATGGTTCTTAACCTCTACTGCAGCCTTGCAACCCCTTTGGTTCTCAATCGTAAAATGTTTTTATAATGTTAATTAATACATAGAGGGCTTGATGAAGCAAATTAGTTGTACTTACGTGCCCGTACTTAATGATTTATTTTATAAAATGATCTGGCCATGTCTCGCACCCCATGTTAAGAAGAACCACTTGTTTCGAACTTAATTCTCGGCAGACTCTACGACTTCCATAACAAAGACAGAGACCACCCGTATAGCCTTAACACACCTATTAGGGCAAGTGCTATTAGTGAGCGCCTACGATGGCCTAGTATGGCACACGAAGGAGTACTGGTGGCCAGCACCACACCCGGCCACCTTTTAACCCCCAGTTGCGATTTTACACACCGCACCAGGTGCTCATTCGAGACTGATGAGGCTGAGTCGACCTAGTGGAGGTCCAGGACTGGTTCACATATTCGTCGCTGGTGTTGGCCGTGAGCGGGAATGGAACTCGGGTGGCCAGGATTTCGTAGCGCAGCGCGGCCGCTAGCCGCGACAACTGCCGCTTCCGAAACGACTTCCATAACACACGCGCGCAAACACCTCATCGCTGCTGTTCCACGGCTTCACAATTTTTTTCACATCCCATCTCACATCTCCCAACAAAACTGGTTCACAGCAACCTCTTCCCATCGCCACCACCCACCCACTCACTCTCTCGCTCACCCCACCCCATCGCTCCATCCCCACTCCCTCCTCGCAACCCCCTTCCCGCCCACTCTTAGCACCCTTATCTCTCCACCCACCAACCGGGCCAGGATCTGAGAGAGAGGGGGAGAGAGGGAGAGAGAGATCGTAAGAGAGGGTTCGCTCGTGAAGCCAGCTGGTCTGGCTTGGATTCTGCTCTGGCGTGGGGCGGCGGTGACACAAGGTGAACGCAGCACACAGAAGCTACCTTGGCTCGGCGGATTTTCCCCCCTTGTGTCCGGCATCAGGGCTGGAGGGAGGGGAGGCTGCGACTGATAAAAGTGTGGGAGGAGGAGGAGGGAGGAGCGGCAAAATCGGAGTGGGGGGGGGACCGTGAACTTGAGCTTGCGGCACACGGGAGGGGAGGTGAGTCGAGTGCGAGCGGAGAGTGTGAGCACGCACACAGGCACACACACAGGCACACAGACAGGCACATAGACAGGCACACACAGGCACACACACAGGAACACAGACACAGGCACACAGACTCAGGCACACACACAGGCACACAGACACAGGCACACACACAGACAGGCACACACAGGCACACACAGGCACACAGACAGGCACACAGACACAGGCACACAGACTCAGGCACACACACAGGCACACACACAGGAACACAGACACAGGCACACACACAGACAGGCACACACACACAGGCACACACAGGCACACAGACAGGCACACACACACAGGCACACAGGCACACACACAGGCACACAGACGCACACACAGGCACACACACAGGCACAAATACCCCCGTATAGCTGTAAGAGGCTGTTGGGGCAAGTGCTGTTAGCGAGCATCTATGAAGGCCAGCACGGCACACGAGGGGGTGGGTGGCCAGAACCACGCCCGACCGCCTTTGTTTCCCGAGTGGCGATGTGTTTTTTTTTACAATTGGTTGAGTCGACCTAGGGGAGGCCCAGGAACGGTTCAGACAATCGTCACTAGGCATTGGCCGTGAGCGGGAATCAAACTCGGGTCGCCGGGTTCGTAGCGCAGCGCGCTAACCGCTACACCACCGCTCCCCGCACACACACACACACACGACCCGTAATGCACACACACGACAAACATCCCTCGTGTAGCCTACACAGGCTGTCGGGGGAAGGGGCAGTGGTAAGCGAGCAATAAGCGACGTGCACGTGCGCAGTGTCGGATCGAATGTGGGTTGACGGGCAAGATTTCCGTTTCTCAATCAAGCTGTAGGGTTCAATGGCTCCTTGACTGGCACACGCTCGCGTCTTATCTGTGTTACACGCACACGCGCTACGGATGTCAAAACTGGGTTGCGTTCTCTTTTCTTTTTTGTCGGACGGTTCTGAATCATTCGCCTGGGAGATGTTCAGTTTTCAGTTGGGTCTGCAGCGGCTTTTGGCGAGCCATCGAACAAAGACGGCCACTGCATCGCGCGCTGTCAGATGCGCTTCTGCGGCCGTCTGGAACGCTCTTCTTATCCGATATTAGGAAGCGACTGGAGCGATTGACTTAAAAATCTAGATTGAAAGCTCGTTTCTTTAGAAATGCTTTTTGTGTTTAGTTTGTTGTCTTTCCCTCGCACCTCCGATTAGCGCGGCTGGCTACGTACGATGCGAAAGAAGTTCCACATACGTACACGTGCATACACAACATGTAACAGTGTGTTCGGAGAGTCCGTACATAAACAAATACTTGTGCTGGAGGTGGCCCGAAATCATCTCGCGGGTCAGTAGCTGTGGAAAGTATTCTACGGGTAATGCCGAAATAGCAAATCTGAATCCTGACCCAAAAATTGTCGGGATTTTGACAATTAATGCGTTTTTAATTGCATCAGAATGTATGGAGAGAGAGAAAAAGCCCCCCGAAGTGGTCTGTTCGTCTCCCCGTGTGACATTACTGCGACACAATCGCAGCCGTTAAACCTCAGTGCACAGAGGCACTGAAGTTTAACAATGCTGGCGAGGAAGCGTGCGAGTAACAATTTGTCACGATACGCGCGTGCGGTAGCGTGGCATCTGTTGTCGGTGCCTATCGCGCTAAGCCACCTGAATTCAATTCCCGGATAACATCACAGTGGTCGGTGGGATCTCAACCGAGTCTGCACCCACCCCCTCTCTCTCTCTCAACCCCCTACCCAGACCCCACGTTTCATCAGCCTTCACCGACCAGCGTGGTGAAGTATGGCCAGACAGTCCCCCCATCACGTGACCGGCCTAGCAGTAGATTGACAAAGGGACTGTAGAGATTATTGTCGTCTTACACGTGTACGTTACATGTTTTGCTTTAGGCTTTGATCGGTATTCACTTTCACACGGGGCATGCTTATCACACGGCAGTGAATCAAGTCTCAACGCAACGGCATCTCAACACTCTCTCACCTGTGTCACCGTACAGTCAGACACGTTTTTCTAACTAGACTTTGTTTTGAATTTACCAGGTAAGGTCCACTGAGTTGTGTAGCTCTGTTTCAGAGGCGACCTGGCCACAAATGATAGCTAAGCGAGGTGGATTAATCCCGTGGGAAATCTGATACGATTAAAAAGCATGTGGAGGGGAAAACCCGGGGGAAATAAAATCCACGCGACCACGGGGAGAACATGCAAACTCCAAATATGGGTTCGATCCCGTCAGGATCGGGTATGCGAACTCACGACCCTCCTGTATGCTAGGCGAAGGTAGACAGACGCTGTCTTTCCGACAGACCTGTTCTTCACCTGAGGACGGCTGCTTGCGTTGTGGCCGAAACGTCGTGAGAATTATTTTATTATATTTATTTTTATTATTTTATTATTTCCCTTCTACGTGACTTTACCGAAAGAACCAAGAAGATGAGCAGGCGAAGGTGGTTAACGCTTCGCCATGGCGGTTGTGATCATCCAGAACAGAAACCGTGACACGTGGAACGATCAACTCGAGGTCCGATTCACAGACACGAGGTTGGAGGGAGGAATTATGACAGAGCAGCGACGCACCACTCCCGACGCAAGCACGTGGCTCATTGACCACCTCGTTGTAGCAGCTGCTGCAAGAAGATCAAAATAATATGATTATTTTCAATGCATTATTTTTATTTAAATGTTTTTTAATTTTTTTTCAATGTATTACTTTGTATTTACATTTTTATTTTATTATCTTTTATATTCTTTTCAATTTATAATTTTTATTTAAAAAATATTTTATTATTTTTATATTATAAAAAAAAATTTGTTATATTCTTTTTGTATCTACGTGACTTTTCCGAAAGAACCAAGAATATGAATTCCTGCAGTCACGAAAGTTTTCAATCAAAATTTCGCCCGGTTGTGCACACGCAGGATGTCAAGTTTATTGTCCTGTGGAATGTGTGGACAGGTATTGCTCGTTTTCTGTTTGGTCATTCCTCGTCAATGTCTCGACTCATCCTTCGCGTGACGCTCATTGAGTGCCGAGCGAGTCTGTGCTGATGGGAATAGCGAGAGGTGCTTTGAGCAATACATTTGGGCCAAACTGCCGCAAGGCATCACTGTGCGCAACGTGTGTTTAGATTTGTTTATGAATGTAGATGTCTAATGTAATCGTTTACTTCTATATACACATTCATGTGGACTCTCTGGTTAACACCTGTTGATGAAAGGCGGCAGGGAGTGATGCTGGATACCCACCCCTCGTGTGCTGTACCGGCCTTCATAGGTGCTTCGCTAGCAGCACTTGCCCCAATAGTCCGTTAAAGGCTATTTCGAGAATCTTTGTCTTTGGAGAGGTTGTGTAGCGATTAGTGCGCTGCGAACCCGGCGACCCAGTTCGATTCCTGCTCACGGCCAACACCAGTGACGATTATCTATACCGGTCTTGGGTTTCCTTCCCTAGCTTGACTCAAATGAGTACTTGGTGCGGTGTGTAAACATCGCCAATAGACAAACAAAGGCGGTCCGGCGTGGTGCTGGCCACCCACCCCCTCGTGTCCCGTGCCGGCCTTCATAGGTGCTCGCTAACGGCACTTGCCCCAACAGGTTGTTAAGGCTATACGGGTCACCTTTGTCTTTTCTTGTGTCTCGCTTGTGTTCAATGCGCTGTGCGACCCTAGTTCGATTGCTGCTCACGACCAAGATGAGCGGCGAATATTTGATCTCAGCCTTAATACGGGTCGCTGGTGCCGTGTGTGAACTTCAGCACCGGGGAGACAAAGGTGGCAGGACGTGGTGCTGGCCACCCACCCCTCTCTCGTGTGCCGTGACGTATGGGACACAGGCCACCCTCCCGCCGCTGTTGACATGCAGACCATTGGTACAAAGCGAGCGTCAGTGTCTTCGCCAGGTGGAGCAGTGCTGTACTTCTATGCTCCCGTGCCCGTAAATTTGAAAAAAATAGTGAACCTGGTAAGCCGATGTCTGCTGTGGTCTCGGCCCCTTCACCAAGCTGGCGGACTGACCACCAGCTACTAACTCCCTACACGGAGCGCACCACGACACGGACAGACCCTTCCATCTGCAGTAGTACTCGGCCCTGTGATGTCAATATGCAGTGCCGGATTATCCTAGTAGTAGAAAAAGTAGCTACATATTCCGGTTCAGTGATTCTGCACTTGCTCTATCACTATACTGCTTTCAACATTTAAGGTTAGCGATTTGTCATATCTGGCTGTATAGCAAATGAAAAATACAATTACTTTACTATACAAGTAAAAAATGTATGTGTTTTAATATTTACGTGTTTTTTTTATTTAGGGTCCTTTTATAACTTATGCTACAGGACCCGCACTAGCTTAATCCGGCACTGTCTATATGGCATTGCCATCGCTGGCTCAGGACCAATATCTATCTACCTACCAGATGCCCCAACATTGTTCAGCCCATCCACATTTGCTCAAATTTATTTTGCTGGTGACCTAAGACAGCGATGGTCTTACAATGCAATTCTGCAGGAACTGCACGATGTTTTTTTTTTAAATGCACAGCGCACCCCTATACAGGAGCACATGGGTTCGATTCCTGACCCTGGTGATGACGCCTGTTGTATATTTGGGGGTTTTGCGTGTTCTCTCTCCCCGTGCTAATCGAGTGAACTTTTCACCTGGTCCCTTCGGGGTTTTCTCCCCTCCCTTCACAGTTACAAACATGCCTTTTAGATGATTCGGCTGCGATGATAAATTCTCACACGTGATGATGATGATGATGATATCAGTCACTCCACTGTGGCGAGATGTTAACTACCTCGCCTGGTATGCAGGAACCCGAGGGGTCGATCCCGACCCTGTATATTTAGAGTTTGCGGTGTCTCTCTTCCCGCGGTCGCGTTGATTTTTCTCCTAGTCCTCCGGTCTTTCATTCCACGTTTAGAATCAACAACACGCGTTTAGAGTATTTGGCTGCTATAAATTTCCACGCGATAAGCCACTTCGTTGG